TTGCGTTTCGCCACCCTAGTGGTTTCTTTCTAGCTCTACCACCAAGTAGGTCTGCCCTCCTAGTCGTAGGCATTGTTAGCACTATGTAAGTGCCTCCGTCTTCTTCCTTATCTTATGTACAAAATGGACCAAGAGAAACTAGTTGTGCCTCCATTTTTTCATGTAGGTCCGGGCAGCCACAGGTGGAGGCGCTGACGACAGAGGCCAGGCACATCACTTTCATTGCGGGTGTTCAGCGCTTCAGTGGGTGGCCAGTACAACCAACGCCGTGCTGGATGGGCACCCTGTCCTGCGGCCATAGGATCTGCACGCACCCCTGTGATCTGGTTGCACATCCACCTGACGAACCAGGCGGGTGAGATCCGGGTCAAACTCGCGTTTAGATGTGACAACCTGTATGTACTTGGCAGGCTTCTGGAACCACGTTGGTGGGTGGTTCGCCTTCGCGGGGCAGGACGGCACCCTGCCTGACTTGACTCGGACTGAGTGAAGTCTAGGCCAGATCATTGGGATAATCCAATTCTTGCTGCTATTGCAACCGTCTCGTCAAAGAGGGCGGACCAGAGAGAGAGAGAAATAGAGAGAGAGGGGGGATCTAGGCCAGGGTGCTCCATGTGGTTGGTAGTTACTAGTCACATACTAGTTCTGATCCTGGCTATATAAAAAAACCCATGGAACCATCTCACTCACTCAACCACAGAAGCAACGACGGAGCTATGTGGTGGGCTGGGGGCGGTGCCCCCCCCCCAGCCCTGGAGATGGATGCCCTGTTCTCCAGCCACAGGGTCTGCAGCGCGCCTCGGCGTTTTGGATGCACGTACAACTTATGAACCAAACATGCGAGGTCCGGGTCAAGCTCGCATTTCAATGTGATAATATGTATTTATCAGGCTTCTGGAACCGTGTTGGTGAGTGGGTCGCCTTCAGGGACCAAGAGGCCACCTTGCCTGGCTCAACTCTTTGGAAAGGGCATTACCCACAAAGGTCTGGGCTATGTCCACCTCAACAGCACCCTGGCATTCACGCACACCAACACCCTGGCCAACTTCTGGCCCAGATATGTGGAAGATACAAGGCTCCGAGGCCGCAAAGGCTATATCTCGCTTACAGCGAGTCTTCCTTCATTCTACCTGAAGCATCTACAGTTGCGAGCCGGCCTATTCACGCATACGTAAAAGAAATAGACAAGAGAAAAATGAGTGTAGCACTACTAGCCACTAGGCCACCATTCGTTTCGTGTCAACTTAGTAGGTCGCGACATTATTGAAGAAAAATAACCGGTTTTCCACTGGTCTTCCGTTTTTCATTGGTTTTTCTTTGTTTCTTTCTGTGTTTTTGCTAGGTTTTTTCTTTCTTTTTTCTTTTTCACTTGCTTTTTGTTTTCCTTTCTTTTTCCTTCTTTTTTCTTCAGTTTGTTTGTTTTATCCTTGTTTTTAATTGTTTCTCGTGGAGGCAGATATTTTTCTCCCGTGAGAGGCACAGAGAAAGAAAATGTTTTTTTCTTCCGCTGGAGGCATAGATTTGACCCTTCCTCGGACCCTGCGCAAGCGGGAGCTATGTGCACCGGCTGCCCTTTTTTTTTTCTTCCGCGGGAGGCATAGATTTAGTTCTAGTGGAGGCACGTGTTTCTTCCGCGAGAATCACATGTATGCTTCTCAGAAAGGAAAATGCTTCTCGAAAAGGAAAACACTTTTTTTCTTCTTTCACGAGAGGGACAGATTTGTTTGTCATGGAGGCACAGATTTGCTTCCTCGGGAGGCATAGCTGTGCCTCTTAGAAAGGGAAAAAGGCTGGGGGGAAACAGTGCTTCTGCTCGGTATTTTTTCTGGGTGTTTTCTAAAAAATCGCCGAAACCATGTTGATACCATTATGCTCCAATTGCATAGGTTTTGTTCAGATCATTAATGTATATGCTTAGTTAATTATGATACATTGCCATGTTTGTGGGTATAAATCTATTTGTGCCAATTGTTGCATCTGGTACGTTTTTTTTCTTCCGAGGGAAGCATAAATTTGCTTCTTGTGGAGGCACACGTTTACATTCGTGAGAGACACAGATGTGCTTCTCGGAAAGAAAAAAAACACTTTTTTTTTTGCTTTCGCAAGAGGCACGGATTTGTTTCTCGTGGAGACACAGATTTGCTTACATGAGAGGCACAGAGAAAAAAAGATTTTTTTTCTTCCACGGGAAGTACAGATTTGTTTCTCGTGGTGGCACATGTGTGCTTCCTCGAGAGGCATAGCTATGCTTCTCGGAAAGGGAAAAAACCATGTTTTATTGCTTCCGCGAGAGGCACAGAAAAAACACATTTTTTTTCTTTCGTGGGAGGCACAAATTTGCTTCTAGTGGAGGCACAAGTTTGCTTCCGCGAAAGGCACAACTCTGTTGTTAAAAAGAGAAAAACACGGGTTTTTCTTTCGCGAGAGGCACAAATTTGCTTCTGCGAGAGTCACAACTGTGCCTTTTAAAAAAGGAAAAAAGTAAAAAAAATGCTTCCATTTGATTTACTTTTTCTAGGTTTTTCCTAAAAAAATTGTGGAAACCATGTTGATCCCATTATGCTCCAATTATTGTTCAGACCATTAGTCATATATATGCTTATTAATTTTTGATACATTGCCATGTTTGTGGGTATAAAACTAGTTGTGCCAATTGATGCATCGAAACTTCTCCTAGTAGTAGAACATCCGTGTGTATTGAATCAAACAAATGCATATAAATGAGTCAAACAAATGGTCGTCCCCAAGATCGAAGCTCATTTCTCCCTCATACATTCAGATGTGTTCAGACCCTTTAGAAGTAGAGACAGTTGATATCATTTATTTACTAGTTATGTACTATTGTCACCTAGTAACATCATCCCTGTTGTTGAACTTTTTCCCATATGAGGATTTGACAAGCGATGGACTAGGGTTCCTACTGTGAACTTCACAGATGTCTCGTGTATTTAGTATTTTACTCTTTTTTTATTTTCATAATATGCAAGGAAATATGATGGTGTATGTGTAAGTTGTATATTGTTCTGATGATAGTCATCGTGGAATCATTTGCAAATCAATTTTCAGGAACTTTTGCCAGCCTTTTATATAACTAATAAATGGTGCATCCGGTATGTTTTGAGCCTTTGGGGCAGAATCAAGCTTGATTTTGACTAGTTATTAGTATGATGGTATATGTGTAAGGTGTATATTGCTCCCACAATACCCATGGTCCCCGCAACAAGAAAAGATACCCATGGTCCCTGCAACAAGAAAAGATACCCATGGTCGGATCATTGGCAAATCAATTTTCGGAGAACTTCTGCTAATTTCAGGGCAGAATCAAGCATGATTTTTCACTAGCTAAGATGTGTTCAAAGACTGAGCAGTATTGTTGCGACTTGAACACATGTAGAACCGCAAGATCTATGAGGAGATGGACTTCGGGACTTGTTAGGATTTGCCAGGTTGTACCGCTGACGTAGCGGCGAGTAAGCACGGGACTCTAGAGCGTGGGCACCTAGATACTCCCTCCTTCTCAAACTATAAAGCGCGCATTGATTCTTTTAGTCTTCGGTCGCACAATTTTGGCTATAATTTTGGCTCATTATATGACAATGAAATTATCATAAAGACATATGAAATAGGATTGTTTTACAAGACAAATGCAATGATACTACTGATACATGTTCAATCGCATTATTTTGGTATATATTAACGATCAAAGTCATGCATCAAAGACCGTGTAAACTCAAGCGTGCCTTATACTTTGGGAAGGCTGCGGCGGGTTGCCGTGGGTGATTGCAATATAGTGTGGCTAATAAGGTTGCTCGTGAACATGCTAGGTTGGCTAAATTTTCTTTGACTTTTGATTGGGTTGAGGTGCATCTGAGTGAAATCGTACCTCTTCTTTTTTATATAATTTTTTTGATTAATTGATAAATAAATCTTACCTGTCGTAATAACCGTTATCTTCTCAAAATATGAATAAAGTCATGCGTTTTGTTTACGAACAAAAACGCTTCAGGCTTAGGCGAGCAACGGGAGCCGTTGGATCCTGGCGCGAGCTTCGATCCTGGTTGTCAGTTAACTGAAGAGTGGAACACCCGTAACTGACGAAAGTGACAACCGGAGGAACAGATGGCCTGGCCTGGCCTGACACTTGCACCCGTCGTCGGCTCGCGTCTCCGGTGAACTTGTTGCTTGGCCGGGGCGAGATGGCCGGCCAAGACCACGACGCGCGAACGGGCGGCGTCGATGTCCCTGGCCGGCCTCACGCCGGCGAAGGGCGGGCGGTTCAGAGAGGCCGAGCAGACGATATGGACGGGGATCGAGCAGTACCTATGCCGATGAGGAGGTGGGTGGGTGGGGAAGCAAGGACGACGACGGCGGGGATAAGGTGACGTGCTCTCTCGCCAGCTCGTGCTCCGTGGCAGTGGCACGGTAAGATTCTTTCTGCGTATTTCCGTGTATATATTCACACCTCCAAGGTGTATGACGAAATGCCCCTGCGGTTTCCACTCTTCGGTGAAAAGATTCACATTCAGCGTTTTGAAGCCTATACTGGTCGCTTAATATTGTTTTCAGTGGTGTGGTCATCTTGAGGGCGGGTGCCATTTGTCCAAAACAACTCAAACACTTGAAACCAAAGGGAGTGGTTAGTTTATAAGGATATAAGGCCAAACTAGAGTCTACCTGGTATCTTCCATGCATCAACGACTTGAACGAGTCTGGTCTCATACCCCTAATATTACATTATTAATTCTAATAATCAGGCCGGCAAAAGAAAAGAATCTTAATCGTTACGTGTTTGAACAAGTTTGCATTGCTGTGAGTTGGAATCTGTATGTAGTCCTAGTGTGATGTGTATAGACGCTGATGGTTGATGTTGCTACCTGATATAGTATATCGGAGGATGGTCAACCAGAACCCTGCTAGCTTCAATTACAACTAAAACTTGGCATATGTGTATATAAATAGCAAATCAGAAGAGGTAGCTGGCTAGGTAAAATCTTAGCACCATGGCGACACCCTCACAACCCCGGCTGTTGCCATTGCTAACTCTGAAGTTCCTGCTACTCGCCGCGGCAGCAACTCTGTCTCTGTGGCAGGGTGGTGCCTGCGCTGAAGAGCAGCACCGGCTCATCACGCTTGAGGGTTGCCAGGCCATGTGCGGCAACATCAGCGTCCCCTTCCCGTTCGGCATGAATCCAGGCTGCTTCGTCGAGGGCTTCCAGGTCACCTGCAACAACTCGTTCGACCCCCCTCGTCTCTTCCTTTACTACAACCGGACAGGACCGCGAACCTCATTCAGCGAGATGGGCGAGGCGGCGTACTCGACGCCGACGCCGGTCACGTCGGACCCGGCGCTGGAGAAGAGGTGGGAAGTGCCCGTGGAGCTCATGGACATATCGGTCGCCAAGAGCGAGGCACGGGCTTACGGACTGGTGAGATCCGACTGCAGCACGACTGCGCGCAACCACTTGCTCAAGCTTCAGTTTACGTGGTTATATCAGCCATTCTACCTGTCAGAGAAGCGCAATTTTCTCGTCGGTGTTGGCAGGGGCGTCAAAGCTAGGATGAGCGACTACTTGCTGGGCTCCGCAAGCCCTGATACGACATGCTATTCAAGCATCGGGTAAACTTGACCTGCACTATACATGCATTCTTTTGTTTGTCTAAATAGATAGATATCCTCTGTGCATCTTCTTACTAAAAGAGGTAAAAAAAAAGGAATTACTATACTGAATTGGGAGGGCTGGCAACATTCTGAATTAGTATTACTGAGTGAGCTTTTTGTGCCAGACCTACCTGCGAGGACGCCTTTCCAAAAGGAAGCATCCTCAACAGATTTGGTGTGACGTTTCAGCCAGATAATAACACGTTTTGGGAAAGTTCACCCTGCCTCTACGGCATGGTGGTGGAGAGCTCATGGTACAACTTCTCTGATGAGGACATGCACGGCTACGAGGTGCTATCCAACAAGTACTCGAGGGGCGTCCCCATGGTGCTCGATTTTGCCTTTAGGGACGGTTCATGTCCGGGTGCGGACGGCTCTGTCCGTCCAGGCTACAGGTGCGTCAACGGCAACAGCTCCTGTGTCAATGCAACCAGTGCCGAAGGCTATTTCTGCAAGTGCTGGGAACATTACGATGGCAACCCTTATGTTCCTAATGGATGCCAAGGTATGTACTCAATGGATTTACATAAATTTGTTGAACAAAGTCGCCACAGACACCTCGTAGTTAATAGGCAGGCCATAACGTTGAAAGAATAGCGCCTAAAAACCTGAAATAAATCCAAGAAATATGTCAGGACCCGTGCCAAGTCTGGAATTTGAACACAGGTGGGCTAGTTCCACCACAGTGAACCTAACCATCTAAGCTATGCCTAGTTCGCTTTGGTAGTATTTTCTGTTACAATTAGCTGCTCGATCAAGCCTTCACATGTTTTAATCCTTTTCTTTCAGACATCAACGAGTGCGAGCTCCGAGAACAAAATCCTGATCTCCGTGATTTGTATCCTTGCGACGGGATCTGTAAGAACAGGCTGGGAGGCTATGACTGTCGATGCAAACCCGGAATGAAAGGGGACGCCATAAAAGGAACCTGCACGGAGAAACTCACCCTAGCAGCAAAAGTGACTGTGGGTAAGCACTAATCTTTTTTACTTATAAGAAAAAAAGAGTTTCATTATCTCCCGGCCTCTGAATCTAGAGGATGCACACAACCATGATGATTTACTAAATGCGGAATACAAGAGGTGGCCAGCATCGGCGTAACCAACCATGACTACGAGAGTAAACATCTAGTACAACACTGCTCAAGAGTGATGTTTGTCTAGTCTAGTGCACCAGATGACTTGCCTATGCCTGTATATTCTGGTATTAGGAAGTTGCATTTCAAGTTTTCATTTCTCTTCATTTTTGGGAGATACATTGTGTTTAAGTTATCATGGAGTATGTAGGTACTTTTAACGAAAAGAGTATACGAGCCATGCTATTCTTTCTTTTACTACCCCCTCAAGAATTCCCAAAATTTGTCATTTTGGATAGGTGTAGTCAAACTTTTGAAATTTTGATTGTTGCCGGTAATGATTATTCAGTTCTATACCATCCAGGTTCTGGGGTGCCGGTAATAATTATTCAGTTTCTACTTTTTGTAGCTGTACCTTCAGTTTCATCACATAATTAAGTCCTTAAATACTCCCTCTGTCCCATAATATAAGATGTTATTACAACGAATATGTGAGCATGTTGGATGTAATAACATCTTATATTATGGGACGGAGGGAATACCGTTTTGAAAATTAGTTGGCTTACTAGTTGTATAATTAGTTACTTAGTTGATTATGGAGAAATAGCATGTCAAGTTAATTGAACATTCTATCATTTAAGTGTAATGCTATTTTGGTGATTGTATATATGAAGATCTTGACATGAGTAAACTTGAAGCTTGACTATTTTGCACTTTGTCAGGTATTGCTGCCATGATTGTTGTCTTGGTCCTCATGGTTATGGTCCATCAGCTACTAAAATTTAGAAGGTTCTATGAACAAAATGGTGGTCCGGTACTAAAAGGTGTAAAGAATATAAGGATCTATACAAGGAAACAAATTAAACAAATGACAAATAACTACAGGTGTGTAATTGGAGAGGGCCACTTTGGTAAGGTTTATCTTGGGACTCTCAAAGACAAAAAACAAGTTGCTATAAAGAAGTCCATCAAGGTTGACAAGCACATGAAGCAGGAGTTCACCGATGAGATTATAATCCAATCTGCAATGAGGCACAAGAACATTGTTATGCTCATAGGCTGCTGCTTAGAGCTGGATGTTCCCATGCTGGTGTATGAGTTTGTAGCGAGAGGGAGTCTGTATGATGTTCTCTTCAAGTGCAGAGATAAGATTCTACTGGGTACACGATTGCGGATTGCCGTTGGATCAGCCGAAGGCTTAACATACATGCATTCAGCAGGGGAGAGTACAATCCGTCATGGTGATGTTAAATCTGCCAACATCCTTCTGGATGAAAAGTTCACCCCCAAAGTTTCAGACTTTGGGACATCAAAGCTACTCGCGAGAGGAAAAGACGAGATGACAGAACTTGTCATTGGGGACATGAGCTACATAGATCCAGTATATATGGAACAAGGGATCGTCACACAGAAGAGCGATGTCTATGGCTTCGGAGTTGTCCTCATAGAGCTTATCACAAGGAGGCCTGCAACATATGATGCTGAGCGGAGCTATGTTGCAAACTTTGTTGAAGCTTTTGTAGAAAAAAGAGCAAGAAGCTTTATTGACAATGATATTAAAAGCGAGGCGGATATCAATCTATTGGAAATGGTTGGCGGAGTCGCAGTAGATTGTCTAAAACCCAATCCAGAAGAACGACAAGATATGAAACGAGTAGAGCACCGCCTCCTCGAGATTGTTGCACAATCTGAAGATTATAGTCATGAGAGGAACTTCCAGGGAGGTATTGGTCCGGCACCGGATGATGTTGCTTTGCTTAAAGCCTTGGGAGAGTGAAGTATCTATCCTTTACCAATATTTTTACATTTTTCACTCAGTTATGTAATGGTTTGATTGCATTGAGACATCAAGACATTAGGGTATGTTCCAATTTTATTCATGTGACATTTTCCTTGTTGATAGGAAATGTAGGATCTAATCGTTGTGGATTTATTACAAGGTATAAACAGACACGACATCACGGTTGTGTGCATCACAATAATGCAGAGGCCGGGGTCACTCCCTTCTCAAAAATGTACAGACTCGAAATTTCCATGTTACATTTGAATTCCATTTCTTATGGACACATATATGAGCTGAGGCTTAATTAGGACCCATTCAATTAATTGTTCTACTATGGACACAGTATGCTCCTCTTTTCATAGTAAATACTCCAAAGACTGTATGCCTCATATGAACTCTGGTCAATGTGATTCTTGTTTCTTTGGTTTTTTTTTTCCTAAAATAATGACCTCCACTCATCTCAGAAGTGAATCTTAGTTTCTCCCGAAATTTACATCGATTATCTGCATTACTTGGCTTTCCCCATGTAGACACCAACGTGCTAGAAATGTCCGAGGTCAATCCTAATATGTAGAAATCTTTTGGCGAGGAAGGTAAGCATTCTACTTTCATATATGCTTGTTTTGATTTTGATACTCCCTCCGTAAAGAAATATAAGAGCGTTTAGATCATTAGTAAAGAAATATAAGAACGTTTAGATCATTAAAGTAGTGAACTAAACGCTTTTATATTTCTTTACGGAGGGAGTACATTGCAATGTAAGGATATAAA